GCAGAAACACGAAAATGGTGACTAGGTAGCACAGTTTCCCTGTAAATACTTATAATTGGTACGTTAATTATTGCTGACGTATTTGCTGAATATTAGCTTGACTAGCCAATCAAGTTTCTGCCTTTCACCGCTTTTCGGCTCGTAAGTCTTTTGAGGGCCATGATACACGTACCTTTTTACCGTACAATCTACCGGTATTGAAGCGACCTATTGCCGCTTTTTAAGCGGCATCTCTCATCAAAATGCCCCTAGCTAGTGAGCTAGGATACCTGTAGCTGCCGTAGCTTTCATCAAGCGTTCTATCATGTTGCACGTTTTCGTCCGCTACTAATGAGGAGGTTCATCAAAATGAAATAGAAGACATGCAGCTGCCTACCTTTCATCAAGTGCTATATGGACGCCATCATGTTGCAGGTTTCTTTCGTCCGCTAATGAGGACGTTGAATGAAGCCTCAGGCATGAAACAATATAGCCGCCAATGGCTACAAATTGACAAGGTCCACATGTCCAAACCATGTTACCATTGCGGAAAAGCCACATGAGGGTTCCGTTGGTGCCAACAGCATGTCCGGCAACACACAACCCACTGCTGCGAACTGCGAATACCAGTACTAGCACATGTAAGACCGGCAAAGCTGATTATGTCCACATTCCGTCTGTCATGGTCCGGAGATCTAGTAAAGTTGAAACTGAGATAATCGCGAAAAACAAAAATGGGAGGTAATCCCCCGGCAGATCGATAGCGTTCCAGACCAAAATCGATGCACTCACCATAGATAGAACTCAATAAATGGATAGCTACTACAATCCCTTCGGGATTGCCCTCGGTCGCCTTCTCCTTCTGCTGCTCATCATCCATGGTCAAGTGGTTGGTTGTTGGCTATCTCTCAGTCCGGATGGACTGGGGAGAGCCTCACAACGCTTGAGCTGAGCATGACCCAGAAGGAGATGTGAAGTCTAGGTCAGGATTGAAACCTGAACCTGGACTGAAAGCTTCTTCTGACCACCGGGTGGGCGGGTGTTGGGATGCAGGAAAACGAAGGCTTTGTACATCAACTGTTGTTGGTGTACAAAGACAAGAGAATAAGCACTTGGTGCTTGTTATCTTGTTGGTGCCAGCTCATCCAATGCCAATGCTGGGTGAGCAGGCACCACCTACAGTTACCTGCCGGTCATGCTGGCTTCAAGGTTGTGGACCCTCATTTGCTCTGCTACTGGTGCTTCACTATGACTGGAGTTAGTCTCTGCCGGACAATCCCTTCGGGATTGCCCTCGGTCGCCTTCTCTTCTGCTGCTCATCATCCAGGTCAAGTGGTTGGTTGTTGGCTATCTCTCAGTCCGGATGGACTGGGGAGAGCCTCACAACGCTTGAGCTGAGCATGACCCAGAAGGAGATGTGAAGTCTAGGTCAGGATTGAAACCTGAACCTGGACTGAAAGCTTCTTCTGACCACCACACAAGCACCACACAAGTGGAGCGACCCCTGAGGCGAAGGATGCCATGAGGAGAGGAGATGGTGAAGGAAGAGATAGGAGAAGAAGAGGAAGGAAAAGTGGGGAGGAAATGTCGAGATGGGCCGGTAGTGGATGGAGCCGGAATGATGCGGGGATGGCTCGCTGATTTAAGGAAATCGTGGGAGGATTGGCGTATCGTGGGGATCAATTTTTGTCGGAGTGAATGACAAAGAGAGGGTCAACCGTGGAGTCTGTCACGATTGTGGAATGGTGGAATCGAAAGGAGGCACTCGATAAGATACCATAAATTTGGTGAATGCCAGGTAAGTAGGTAGAGAGTCGAATTTGTTGTTGGACTGGTGTGATTCTCACTGGTTGTGTGTATTGATTGCCGATGTGATGTAGGTGGACAAGAGATTGAGTTGAAGTGTACAACGATGGCTGGTTCGGATACGGAAAGTGGAGAAGGAGGATCGCCCGAGGACGCTCGGGGAAGGAGAGAGCAACTGATGTGTTGCTCGAACGCAAAAGTTTGTGATCCTGGCGACGGCGCAGGGGTGTGATGTGTCGGAACAGGAGATTGAGGTGTGGACGCCGAAGTTTATGAGCGAGATGAATCCGGAGTGATGGCTGGGATGGAGGAGGCCAATCGGTTGCGAGCTGTGTTTGGTGGTGGGGCGCGATGATGACGCCGGAAGGGATGTGGTCGGACCACTTGGAGGCTGCGGACTCGGGGTTGGCCCCCGGAGTGTGGCAGGTGATGGCTCGCGACAATTTTGGCGAGGAGTGGTGGAGGACGGGCCGTTGACGCCGTGGGACACCTTCCGTCTAACGTGATGGGCATGGTGCGGAGGGTCTACGCGAGGCTATGGCCGCGCACAACCATGAAGCCACATGAAGCGCTTTATCAGTCGGAAAGAAGGATGCAGCGCAGGAGGTTGCGGTGGCGGTGGTGACAAAGGGCTTTCCAGTTTCCTTAAATTCCTACGGGTGCGGTCTTTTTCTTATCCGGGTCCGCTAAATATCTAGACCGGCCAACACACTCCTGCCGTGGTTCCCTAATGGATGCACGGAACGATTAAAACTAAACTAAATAGGAGGATGCCCCATAATAAAAGCGCGATGCGCATGGAATAGGGCACCTTGGAGGGGCTTCGTGAGAAAGTCCCCGTGCATGTCCTGTGTGGGACAATACACCACTCGTACATTCCCTGCTTCACTTGGTCGTGAATAAAGAAGAAACGCACATTCAGAGCACGAGTACGCTTACCGGCGCTGCTCTTACCATTCTCAGCGAGAATGATAGCACTCTTGTTGTCTTGATAAAGGATGTTCTCCTGAACATCAACACCTTGAGCCTCCAGAAATACTTGGTCCACAACAAAGGATCATAACATCGTCGGCTCCAATGAGTTCGGCGTCGGTTACTGCTCGAGCGTTGAGCTTTTGCTTGCTAGAGACAGCAATGGGTGCACCGCGGCCGAAACTGAGCACTCCTCCAGTATGGATCGATAGTCGGGATGAAACAGCAAAACTCGCGTCAACCCACCATCGGATAATACGAACGTCGTCAGCATGGAGGATGAGCTTGTCATTCAAAGTCTGTTGAATAAACTTGACAATCCTTCGGGATTGCCCTCGGTCGCCTTCTCCTTCTGCTGCTCCATCATCCATGGTCAAGTGGTTGGTTGTTGGCTATCTCTCAGTCCGGATGGACTGGGGGAGAGCCTCACAACGCTTGAGCTGAGCATGACCCAGAAGGAGATGTGAAGTCTAGGTCAGGATTGAAACCTGAACCTGGACTGAAAGCTTCTTCTGACCACCGGGTGGGCGGGTGTTGGGATGCAGGAAAACGAAGGCTTTGTACATCAACTGTTGTTGGTGTACAAAGACAAGAGAATAAGCACTTGGTGCTTGTTATCTTGTTGGTGCCAGCTCATCCAATGCCAATGCTGGGTGAGCAGGCACCACCTACATTACCTGCCGGTCATGCTGGTCTTCAAGGTTGTGGACCCATTTGCTCTGCTACTGGTCTTCACTATGACTGGAGTTATCTCTGCCGGACAATCCCTTCGGGATTTCCCTCGGTCGCCTTCTCCTCTGCTGCTCATCCATGGTCAAGTGGTTGGTTGTTGGCTATCTCTCAGTCCGGATGGGA